TATTCCGTTCCCGAGGTAGATTTCTTAGATGTCGCTTTAGAAAACGTGTTTTAGATACTTGCAATAATTTTTAAGAATGGTTGGCGAAAGCTAAAAATCTTCCAAGTCAAAGCAATTAAAAATACACTTTAAAAGCTTCTCTCAAAAAGGCTGTTCTAACGGTAAGATGCTTCTGTGTTTATGACCCTTTCATGACATTCCTCCAGGCAAGTTGTAACATGTATTACAAAATATGCAATAAAATATCAACTTATTTGTAAACACATTTTAATGCGATAATAAATATACAAAAATAAATAATAAGAAACATTACTAGAGAGCGCATTTAGGCGTTGAATTATTTTCTTTTTATAATATTATTTTTTGGCAATAAATTTAAATTTCTAATTCAATCACAATATGATGATTATATTAAAATCTAGAATTATAATAATGTTCTAACGTAGGTTAGTTTTTGTGTAAAATATCGAAAAAAACAATTTTCGATATCCGAGATGTTATTGTTAAATCAGAATTTTTAATATTTTGACGTATTTGAAGTGCAACGAAATGATTAAAATAAAATGAGTTGTGAGATGAAAAATAGCCGACACAGTTGATTATCAACCATGCATGCTCAAAAGAAGAGCTAGATTAGGTCCCCTTCTTTTCTGTTTTTTTCTCTTAAGAAAAAAAGATATAATAATTTAATTGACGCCAATTGATTGCCTGTTATTTGTGCTTCAATATTAGAGTATTATGGTAAGCGGAGTTTGTAATTTTTCAATTAGTGCTAATTAAATTATTATATCTTCAGCAGTTTTTGAATAAATTGACATTTAATTTCCACTTGCACCCGATACAATTTTCCTTTTTTTAACAGAATTAATCGACGCACAATTTTAATGCTTACGTATTTAAAATCCGCAAACGACGCACACTTTATTGGTAAAGTTTACATTGGACATGTAATAAAAGGAAAAACAAGTTTTCCATCTNATTGTTCCAGTTCCAGAGCTGGCACCCTACATTATTGTATTCAGGAGAATATTGGGAACACAATTGGAAAAAACTTAAGGCTTTTTTTATCGAGATTAAACCAAAGAATATTAAAAATTGTTCCAGTTCCAGAGCTGGCACCCTACATTATTGTATTCAGAAGAATATTGGGAACACAATGGGGTAAAAAAATTTAATTCGAATAATTTCTCCCACTCACCCGCCCATATTGACTGGACTATAATGATAAAGATGAAGCTCATTTATTCACGTAGTTGCAGTTATTGGAAAGCAGAAGCTACAAAAATATTTGTAAGAGCTATACGATTTATAAACACTTCGTCTATAAATAATTGCTTATATGTAGTATGTGCACTCATTATATCATCTTTTATCTTGATGTTTGTTTCTATAGACTTATTACATTTCAATTGGTTAGAAGGTAATCAAATAAATGAAACATTCAACAAGGATATTAGTGTGCATTATTCATGCCAATATGTATAAATATTGTATAAATCATACTCTTTACTCATAATGTCATACTGTAGGTACATAGATAAAAATACATTGTTTTCTGTTATTAATGTACTTAATTACTAAGTTTCCAGTTTTTAAACCAGCTGCAACGGTATTATAGCTTCAGCGCTTTAGGACTCATCATTATTAGATAATACAGACCAACTTCTGTAACTCGAATTTCTCCATTTATATTTATAACTCGATTTGTTTTTTTATAAATTGAATTTCAATTGATTTTCTTTAGAAAATCAGCAACAGCTGTAGGAAAAGGCAACAGGGACAAATGTGATGATTGAGTTTTCAAGTGGTTATCGTTGGGGGACTTAACAGTACGAATATAGGTAGAAGCTGTCTTTGAAACAAAAATTAAAAAACTTTTTTTCCAATATGGCAAAGTCGCAAAGTTGAAATTCGAAAAAAGAGTACATCGAAAGTACCCATTTTCAAAACACCCGGAAAACTCTACAGATAAAACTACCAAATGACAACACTAAAGGTGCACCCAAACTTTTAAAACCCTAACAGCAGAAAAGANAATCAAGACTTGTCCCTGATAACGTTATCATTTTCCTACCTTAGCGGCTTGATATGTTAAAATTTATAATAAAAATATATTGCTAATATAAAATTCAACAGAAAATAAAATTAACATCGTACCATGTGGACACTTTCTAAATTTCTACCATTAGCCCTGGAATCTATAATTAAAAAGTAATTTTTAGAATAAATGTCATCATTTGCGTTTTTAATTACCTTTATCAATAATGACTTGTAATAGTAGCACAATTTTCAAATTTCATTTGATTGCACCCATTACGCTTAGTCTAAATTTATAGCAATATAAGCATTTTAAAATGCTTTTACGCACATCATAACTCTCCAATGATTAATTATAAGTTAGGTAACTAGGATTTTATTAGCGAAACCAAATTAAATACAGTTATCAGAAAATCAACCAAATCATAATTTCTATTTCTTTAATTATTGCTAATTAAACAATTCTGCAATAAATTTTCAATTACAAATACAAATGCCCATGAAAAAACAATGTATACTTAATAAATAGGTAGAATAAAACTACATAAAAAATCAAATTTGCTAATTCATTTTTTGTCAAATTTTGTACTTACTACGAAATACATATAAAATAACTAGATTTAATTTTGGCAAGAAAGGTTTCAGAACACAGATCATAAGGTTGCGGCAGGAGAAGACAACACGAAGGAAGATATCTGTCATTGTTATTACACAAACATGAACCTTAATCTTTTTTTTTTCCAAACTTGAATACTATACAATATACATGAGTATATTCACTTGTTCTTGTACCGTAGTGAACTGCACGACATAGTACTATATGTATAACAATGAAATCAAAGGAAAACATACTAACCGAAACCTTTTCTTTGTACTTGTTTGTTATTATTAATATTCTTGTAGATAACAATTTCAAGTTTTAACAATTTTTGAATAATTATTTCCCATGTATTTCTGCAACTGCAGATTTTTATTCCTGCAGTGAAACACGTATGACACAGCACTCATTAAAACATGTAATAAAAGGAAAAACAAGTTTTCCATCTAATGTATAAAAATTTTTTACAGAATTCAAGGTAAACTCATCTTTCGATAAGCACAACCACAATATTTATATTCCGCATGATTTTTCAATTTTTCAATGTCGCAAAATAGAAAAATTAAAAAAAAGCGCATTTTAAACAATAACAATAAGCTGCACACATTATATAATCATTCCATATTTTTTAACGTAATTGCGTGCAATGTGATGAACGGTGCATCAATAATTTTACATAATCAATCAGCAATCGCTATTATAACTAGCGTATTTCCAAGGCTTTTCATTTATAAACGTTCACAATTGAGTCACATCAATGTACATGTATCGTTTAAACTTTATTTAAATAGATACATAGAGTGATTTATTTTTAACAAACCCCATCTCATAGTAATTTCAAATAATATTATTTATAAATATTTATTAAGAAACACAACAAATTATTTATTTTCGAATTGAAAGGTAAATATTCCCACAATTGTTCGAATAAACAACAAGTAACAAATGCAGTTACGAACTTATACCTCAGTAGGTACATAAATTCATATTAAAATAAAATTTACTTCAATTCTTAGGAGGTTTTCCCAATTTCTGTTAAATTTTTATCTTATTTCTTTTTCAGGGTTCGAAAATTAATTGTGAAGACGTAGATATTTCCGAAAATTAAATAGTGAAATTTTCTCAATTAACTCATCTTAAATACTTAACACTTAAATTTTTGATTTTTTCTTCTGATTTTATAAGAAAGTTAAAAGATGTTCGGTTCCCTTAAATAAATATAGACAAAACTATTATCAGTTTAATAGTTGCAATACCTAACTAATGAATTTTTGTTATTACTGCAACAGTTCAACGTAACTTTCATTAGTTTTTCAAATAATATGCGAGTATTTTTAAAACTCTTATTTAGAAACTTATTTTATCTGAAATACAATTAAAGCATAAATTTCTTGTAATTAATTTTACCTTGTAAAATAAATCTGAAGTAATTGTAACGACTTTAATTTGAACAGATCAATCATTATCAACTAATTTACACAGAAAGATTTAATATTACTAATATTATTGTGCATTGTCTGCAATAAACAAGACGGAACATGTTTATTATTTGTTATTAACTTCATTAATTAATAAAGCGCATTTTGAAATTTTAAAAAGGAAGACACCAGTAACTCTATTGGTGAAATATAAGATTTTAGAAATTAGATTTGATATGTTTATGTTTCACACAAAAAAACAGATTTTATTGTTTGCTAAAAATCCCAACTAATATTATAAATGCGAAAGTGAGTTTATTTCTTTTTTATTTATCTGTTTGTTCGTAGGCCGATCATCATGAAATTTTGTACACACATTGTCAGGGGTACAGAAAAGCACATAGGGTACTGTTTATCCAGAAAAACAAAACTGTTCCCGAGGGATAGGAAAAAAAATAGTTTTATGTGGTCGATTTACTCAATCGATCATCATGAAATTTTGTAGATACCTTGTCAGGAGTACAGAAAACTACATAGGGTACCTTTTATCAAAAAAAGAAAATAAAAAATACTTTTCCCGAGAGACAGAAAAATTAGTTTTATGTGGTCGATTTCACGCCTTAACTGCCTAATGGATAGTCATAAAATTTTGTATACACATTGTCGGGGATACAGAAAAGGCCATAGGTTACATTTTATACAGATGAAAAAATGCTCTTCCCGAGGGATAGAAAAAATTAGTTTTATGTCATATATGACTTTTGACACATATTTAGGACATCAGCACGAGTGAAGCCGTGGATAAAACCTAGTAATTAAAAATAATTTGACTTATACCCAATAACATTAAAATGTTAGGTAGGTAGGTAATTCGTTATTTTATCCAAGAAGTAAATGTATGCTTATGGCAGTTACTTACATAATGAATATTTTATGAAATAACTTACCCTTGTTGGTGTTCCATATTTAAATAAGTTTGTATTCTTTATTGGTGTAAGGGCCTGCCTTTCATCACACTGTGTTTTTACATCTTCGATAGTTTCACCCAACAATTCATTTTTTAACAAACAGTTGTATGCTGAAGTTTCACGTGGTGATTCACTAGTATCTCTTGCTTTCTTATTACTTTGTGTAGCCTTTGGGGGATCAGGAATAGTGGCAAAGCTAGTTTGCCAGTTATTATTAGCACGACAAGGAATGTATCGGTCATAGTTCACTACTACCCCTGGTTCTTGAAAACTGTTAGTACGAAACAAATTTCTTACAATAGACAGTCTCTTTGGTTGTAGCACATGATCATTTTCATTAACTTCGCACATTTTTGTATAAATATATGTAGAATAAAATTAAAAATGTAATTCCTTGAAAATATTTGACACTTTTTGTACTCAGGAAATGACTTTCTGTATGTACAACGCTAAAGAATGCAAATTGAAAAGCAATTCAAATTTTGATGAAGTTCAGAAGTCATAGCATAAAAAAGCAGTATGCACGAATGCATAAAATGCTTAAATTTAAAAATTACATTATGGTAATCAGTCCATTTAAATTAACCTCAATTTACTAATTTTTGATGCACAACATATAATACGTAACAAATACACTCCACTTGACTTCCAAGAAACACTAGTCAGTGATTTTGATATAATTTCAATTAATGAACAGCGTAAATATTCGTAATAATGATACAAACGGTTATCATGACGTCTACATTTCAAATCAAAACTACAACTCAACGCCATTCAACGCTTCTTGTGGAATNTAATCGACGCACAATTTTAATGCTTACGTATTTAAAATCCGCAAACGACGCACACTTTATTGGTAAAGTTTACATTGGAGGATTATTTATATCGGATGCTACTTCACACAACATGGCATTATCTATCTATGGCATTATCTATGGGCATTGTTGGGAATTGTACTTTCTATGGTTATGTCCATGCTATGTCGAGTAGCCATTGTGTAAAAGGAATCTGGGATAATTTTGTAAAATATTAGATTTTATTAGTAATCCTTAACGTAAAGTTAGTTAATAAGCAATGGGGGAAAAGGTATGTGTATTATTTTTCGTATATTTTCGATATTTTCTAAAATATTACGATATGCCCAAATAGCAAATGATTTAATGAAATTAACATGATTGTAGGCCGAAGAACAAGTTAAGAAGAAGAGGACATTCAGGAAGTTTACCTATCGAGGAGTAGATTTGGACCAACTTTTAGATATGCCTAAGTTAGTATATCATTTTGTCTTGTCCACCTTTTCTATTATATGTAATTCATATGTTATGACTATAATGCTGCTTATTATTTCAGCGAGCAACTAATGGAACTTATGCATGCTCGTGCCAGAAGGCGTTTTAGCCGAGGCTTAAAACGAAAACCTATGGCACTTGTTAAGAAACTACGTAAAGCTAAAAAAGAGGCACCACCAAATGAAAAGCCAGATATCGTTAAGACTCATCTTCGCAATATGATTATTGTTCCAGAAATGGTTGGTTCTATTGTAGGTGTGTACAATGGTAAGACATTTAATCAAGTAGAAATTAAACCTGAAATGATCGGTCATTATTTGGGTGAATTTTCGCTTACATACAAACCTGTTAAGCATGGAAGGCCTGGTATTGGTGCCACACACAGTTCTAGATTTATTCCTCTAAAGTAAATGTGTATTTGGTGGTTAATAAATTTTTTTTAAAGGTAGTGATTATATTTATTTCTTTACAACAATAAGTTTTTGTTAATATAATGTAAAAAGTTTTACCATTACATAAAACTAGCAATTAAATGAATTACTACACTTGTAAGTAGTGAAAAGGCTGGGAATTTTGAATGGAGGTATGTATTTATACAAAAGCATATGTATCGATTAGAGAGAGATTATATCCTTATGTTCTAAAACAAGTCATTTGATGAGAGTTTCTAAAAATTTGCATGAAAGTAATATATTAAAAAGTACTAGTCCAAAAGAATATTGGAGTTTTATAAAAGAATGGAAAAGCCATAGCAAAAAAGACAAAATTTATTATATAGTCTACTTAGAAATCAAAAAGTGAAGTAAAAGATAAACAGCTCAGCACTTTAAATATTTATTTTCCTTAATAACAACAAAACGAACTGAAACCAGTAAAAAACCAAAAATGCTCAAGAGGGCCTGATGGTATTGTACATAACGAAAAGACTGTTTCTTATAGGTACAACGATACAGAGGTCCCCAAGGTAATTAAAAATCTCAAGAATAAACTGCTGAAAATAAAAAGAGTAGGTATTACTAACTATTTGATGAACACCTAAAATGAAAAGAACATTAAAAAAATGTGTGCCGTCGGGGAACAAAGTTCCAACTTACACTTTTTCTTCAACTCTGAATGGAATTTGAAATAAAATCTGTACAATTGATTTCTTATTTTGTATCATTTTTTTTAATGCAAATAATGTAAGATAAGGAATTAACTGAAAGTTTCATTTAACTAGATGCAAAATAGTTACAACTGGCCGCACATACGTCTGTAAAGTTAGCATTGTAAAATGAGCAAAATTGAATATCATACAATACTAGCTTTATATAAAAATAGCTTAATTAATAATGAACGATTTTGTGAAAATTTGGAAGCAATATTTACTAAAAAAGATCCGTAAGTACGTAAGTTAGGTAGTAAGTATCTACCCTATTCCGTTCCCGAGGTAGATTTCTTAGATGTCGCTTTAGAAAACGTGTTTTAGATACTTGCAATAATTTTTAAGAATGGTTGGCGAAAGCTAAAAATCTTCCAAGTCAAAGCAATTAAAAATACACTTTAAAAGCTTCTCTCAAAAAGGCTGTTCTAACGGTAAGATGCTTCTGTGTTTATGACCCTTTCATGACATTCCTCCAGGCAAGTTGTAACATGTATTACAAAATATGCAATAAAATATCAACTTATTTGTAAACACATTTTAATGCGATAATAAATATACAAAAATAAATAATAAGAAACATTACTATGTGTTGTCTCTAACACTTTCAGGTGTGCGGAAATGAAAATTTTACAGATTTATTGTGTCGTTGGATTAATGTTTTCAGCAATTTTTTACGCAGAACGTAAAATGTATGGATGCCTATATTTTAGATAATATACTTTTAATCATCTTTTAATGTGCACACTGTGACGCAGTGTACATAAGTTCATATGATGCTTAATGCTGCATGCAAGTTAATCTACTTCTAATGAGTACTATAAAGTTTAAAGTGTATAAGAACAAAATAGGATTGAGCTGATTTCGTTTTCCATGAACATCCTAGACCAAAACGATGTCACCGGGAAAGTTAAGAAAAGTAGCTGGGAAAAAACCGGGAAACCCTGACTCGTTACGTTTTTTAAGTAGCTAGTTGCCTAAACGTCGGATAAACGACTCCATTGGTGTTCAGATCAAAACACAAAGTCCTACATCATGGTCATCAAGCGTTATTTAGATAATACCGCCAGTTAAAAATTCTCTTTTTATGTATTATTAATACATCAATCAAATGTATATTTGTTATGATCAAGTCTATACTATCTATTCAAACTGGTTAATTATTTCGTTAAGTCTCCAAGTCATCTACGCTTTGTAGATGGAAAGGTTTACCACTATAGGTAACTTTGATTGCTTACCGGATGAATCGTAAGATTAATGGGCAAGAGGTGATAAAAAATCTTAATAACTTAGAAGTTTATTCTGGAGATATGTACACGAGAAATTGTTCATAAACGAACTATTAAAAAAATTGTATAATCAATCAAAGGCTCCACTCAGAACTAATTCTATAGCAGCTTGAACATCTCCAGATGTTGTTTGTAATGCACGAACATTGACAATATCATTAGTTAATCCCATTTCATGCATTTGCCGTAATTGAGATTGCCATCTTGAAATTACAGTATCAACTGCATCAGCAGGGGATGGGCTACTAACTGGCGCAAAAAATGGGGAGGAGTTAGAACCAAATGCAGGTGATGATGCAAATGCCTGTTGTATTGCATTGCTAAACATTTCGCTAGTAATGACTGAGCTGGCTGAATTAGGAGTTGATGGTGCAGTAGAAGATATTTGTGAATCAAAAGATGAGTTAGTGACATTAGCTATAGCTGCTGCTAATTGAGCAGCTGTAATTGCATTGTATGATGCATTGCGCTGCAGAGGGACTGCAGTTCTCGGAGAGCCTTCACTACTTGGAGAATCCATTTCCTCATCATCAGATAAGGCATCTAGGGAATATGAATAACCTGTACTGGTACTTGCTTGATTTTGACTAATATTTGCAGCTTCTTCGTGAACATGAGCAGCAATATGATGGGCTGCTTCTAATAAGCTAGGATGTTTCTGAGCAATTTTCCGAACAGTTTCTACATCAGAAAGTTGAACAATTAATTCTGGATCTCGTATTATTGATAGAGCTATTGGATCTTCAGATAAACCAGGAGTAGCAGCAATGATATTTTCTAGCACTTCAGGTCTAGATAATCTCTAAAATTTAAGTATTATTTTCAATAATATAATTAAATGTATACATTAAAAGTGATAACCTGTAAGGCAGTCCTACAACTTGCTGTATGAGTAAAGGTTTTAAAAGCAATTACCAGTTGCTGTATATCAACTTCTGAAAATGTACGAGCAGCAGGAGCCTCCGTCTTTACTCTTTTTTGTAACACATGTATTAGCCCACCGGGCTTTACATTATAAGATGAAAGAGATATATCATCCTCAAGCACCATTCCACGATAAATAAAATCTATGCATACCATTTCAGAAAATAAAGCAAAAAAATAATTGAGAAAATTATATACCTATATCTTGTTTCTTTACATTTACTCTCTTGGCTGCTTCATCTTTAAGTAAATAAACTTTTCCTTCTAAATCTACATTTTCAATCCTAATAAGTTGACATTGGTTGGAAACTAATTTAACTCCTAAAATGATTTCACCAGTCATTTTGAATCTTTTGTTTCTTTCGTTTCTTTAGGATAGTATTGTATAGTATAATACATTTGACGTGTATAGACATGCATAGAGAAGATTTAATGCGACCATAGATAATAATGCAACCAATACAACAAAACAATACATATAGATAAGAAAGTTCATGACAGGTGAAGGCAGTTCAAAGAGTCCAATTTTGATAAAGTCCAATGTTCAAAAGTGGTCATAAAATAGCGAACAGTGAGTAGTGTCTCCTATATGGGCTGACTACTTTGTAAATCTACATGGAAGTTAAAAAAGGAAATAGTGGAAGCTTACACTGAAATAAAACAGAAAATAAACTGAAGATGATACCATTTTAATTAAACTACTGTGGCATTTTGTTCTTTTTTAGTGTTTACGTTAAGTTCCACAATATTCTAATGAATAATATGTAGCAAAAACAGTGAAAATCCCCGTACCTTATGTTCCTAAGAGATAAATTTTGTCAGATTATATCTTTTATAATTTTAGTAATTATAAAACGATAAGCGACTACCCATCATTTTTTCTATATATTCAGTTGTCAAACACAAAGCGTAAACGGCGTAAACACATGGTAAAGTAAGTCATGTTAGTTGTTGTTTCTTGTCTTTCTTGTCGTTTTAGTATTCTACTTTCTTCCGCGTTACAAAATTAGTCTATGAAATTAGTCGTAAAAACTGGTCAGGGTTTATCCACGTTATTCAAAAAAATGATATAATTTGGCATTTCCTAATAAGTCTATTACATTATTCATTTGATTGCTTATAGTCTATTAAAATCAATTAATAAAGTGATAATATTTTTGGAGTCTAAACATAGCAATGTGATCCTCTTTTCTGAAGTTAGTTTGTAGAAAGTAATGCTGGCCGAGTGGTACACTCATCGCGCTCGACTTTGGGCCGCAGTGAATTGGTAAATTCCATTCCCCAGAATCAAAACAAAATGAAGTTATGATTATACCACATGACGAGTTTTATAAATACATAATTAGTAGTACTCCATAAACTTAATTTAATATAAACTTAAAAAGAAACATTTATTTTCTGTAAAATGGTGTTCACATAACCTTAAATAAGGTTGCGATTTGACTAATTTTGATCATCTTATTGCTTTAGCCCGGAATTTCTAGCATTTTTATTATTTGTAAGAAATGGTATCGATTTTCTTTCCATTTCGGCACTGCACACCTTGTCATTTTTGTAAATTTTATAAAAGTCGGAAATTTAATTGAGAAAATGGTAAAAATTTTCTCTATTGCTTCACTTACCTATTTTTGTATTTTTTAATATTTCGTAGTACATAGTTAAAGAATGATGTGTGTACTATAATTATATGACGTTTGGTAACGAGGTATTATCATGACTTTTACCTCGAGCATCTATGAGCGAACATAGACAGCCAATGGACCATTTGTATATCTCATCTACGATTACTAATGGACATGCCTTAGCTGTCAGAATTGTGGTACAACAAAAGAAAGAGATGGAACGAAGTTTCGGACAATATCCATCTCTCTCACGATAGTGCGTAAGCGTGTCATGAAAGAGATAGCACTAGTCCGAAACCATACGCCATCTCCCTCACATTTCGATCCAAGAAATTATTACGACATACAGCTAAGGCACGTCCATTAATATATGTCTATGGTATATCTATTATCTATGGCAATGGACAGTCATTTAATCTATGGACAGACATATAGACAGCGAATGGTAACAGCCAAATGTTATGTTAAAATGTAATTTTTAAGAAGAAATGTAAATTCTCGATGGCGTTTACTAAAAACACAATGGTTAAAGAAAGCTGTTCTTAATAAATTTAAAAGTAAAAGTTTAACTTCAAGATGACAACAAGAGTACGAAACAATAATATGACTATCAGAATTGAAACTGAATTAGAAAAAAATAGAGAAGAACAAAACTGGGCGAAAGTAACTGAGTTAGCGGAACAATTAAGGGATAAGTCTCCAAATTTTGGTAATAAATTGCAATTAAGTTGTTGGTTTAAACAGTTTCAAAGTGCTTCTTGTAGAATATTTATCAGACTTTTTAATCGGAGAAGGGAAATTAGAAAAGTATTTGGAAGAATGGCCCCCAATTGAAGCCAACATACACAGGGCGAAATTAGGTTTAATTGAGGCAAAAAGGTATCTTCAATTGGCTTCAAATGAAGCAGGAAAGCAGGTAGTTTTATGAATATTCAAGGAGTTTAAAACAAACTAACTAAATATTTAATAAATAATAAACGTACCAAAATTTCAAACAGGCAGGTGTAGCACTAGACGCAAATTTACTACTTGGGAAGCTAAATTACTGTTGTGGCCAGTATGCAGAAAGCTTGAATAGCTTCCAGTTGGCTGAGCTTGACAGTTTATCAGAAAAAAAGTTACCAATGTAAAACTGATCAATAGTACTTCCAAGAATTTGTAATAAAACGTTTGTTTGTAGAAGAAGTTTAAGAATAGTTGCCGAATCATTTGCAATAAAAGCTCTATGTTTGGCAAAAGATAACAGTGCATCTAGCAAATTTAAGAAAGCTGAAAGAGAAGAAGAAATGAACAAAAGCTTTGCAACAGCTTCCAATCTCAGCCTTCTTTACATGCAAGAATTTGATAAGCAACAAATGTCTGTGTCTTCAGTTACAGGTAATTTATTCATCATTATTTTGATGTTATGTATGTACCTATGACTGGCCTAAGTAGAGGGCAATGTAAAGTTGTCAAGTACCACTTGGGGATGTCACATACAAGGGAATTTTTTTATAGACATGGGTAACATTGTGTTGAATGATACTTTTGTGTTGACACCTTTCTGTCTGTTGCATGTGTTGAAACAGCTTACTCAGTACTAATGATACTTAACACTTTAATGACACCTTAACTTAACGATCCAATACAGCGTTATGCCGCCCTGTGTACTCTGTGCTGAAACATATATCACAGTGTTACGTGTTTTGTTAATGTATCAGTGCACTGAGACGATAGAACGAGTGATTGATATAATAATAGTATTATTGAGGATTAACTAACGAAAACAAGTTACTATTAGTGCGAAAGGTGTCTTATTACGCGACAATTATTTAAAAGGTTTGGAAAACGCTAAAGATAAGTTGTGTAAATAACAATGATAAATGACTATACATGTGTCCGTATATTTCACTTTCTAATCACACATATATGTGGTAGTAACTTCTAGTTTTCTGCCGTGTACTATGGTGGTTGCATGTCGGGATCTATGGTGGTGTAGGAGATATAATGGTTAACAGTGGTCGACCTAAGGTAATTTTATATTTCGACCAGTGTTCTAAAGTCTCGGAAGATTCGAGAACGTCTTGGAATGTTCTAGAACCATTATGTTTGAGTAGTGGAGCTAAATTAGGGCATTTTCATAGTGTCCTAAAAAATGTGTGTTTGGGATTACTAATAGATCGCCAAACATCGTTTAGAATAAATGAAATGTAAACCCAGTAGTTACGCCGCTACTGTAATTAGGCACAAACACACTAACTAGCTGACATGTGCTTCGTCCTCTTCTCACGTAACAATTACCAACACTAGATTTCCGGTCAAAGTCAATATCAACAGACGAAATGCTTCACGTTGATAATGCTCATATGAGACGTGGGTCGAATACGGTCGCTAATTTAGAGTATGTATATTTCATCTAATTAAATCTGATCTTCAAAAACATATATTTGTTCTTTATGGACTTAAGGGGCTAGGGAATGCTTAAGAATCCTAAACTTGTTTATTGAACATTACTAATATCTGCTTTAGGTACTCATTCCCCACTGCCACCTCCATTAAACAAAACTCTTAGTCCTATTATGGAACAAGCACTGTTGGATGCCCCTACACATCTTGTAAAACAGAATAAACCTGTCTTAGCATTAGAAAGGTTTAGATCAACATTAAGTGCTGTTGAATCACAATCAGTTCACACAGTTCGGTTAAAACTTATGTGCCAAATGGCTGAACTATTGCTCCAGGGAATGATAGATAAAGGGTATAAACCACCTCTTGAACGACCTCAAAAAGAATCGCCGTGGAAGCCAAAACAGTATAACAATTTAAATCAAGTGAGAAGCCAATATCTTTAATTCTAACTGCTATCATATTGATATCATAATTGCAAAATTAAATAATGTTTACTCTTCAATTTCAGTTTGTTCCTAAAAATGAACAAGAAGAAATTCTTTTAGTTTTATTGATAGCAGAATCGATAGCGGTACGTCATGCGGTTCTGTCGCAATTTCCAGAGTTTAAAGAAGCTAGAAATAATTCGTTGCAGGATGCTTTTTTTATTTACGATTTGTTAACTTTGGCGACTGTGCGATGGGGACAAGTGAGCTTATTACAGGAGGTAACTAAATTTGATCTTATTTTTTAAAATGCATATACAGAGATGAGGAAATATTTAACCATTAAATACAATTTCTGTAATTTTTTGTTAATATAATGTAAAAAGTTTTACCATTACATAAAACTAGCAATTAAATGAATTACTACACTTGTAAGTAGTGAAAAGGCTGGGAATTTTGAATGGAGGTATGTATTTATACAAAAGCATATGTATCGANATGGTTTTTTTGCTAGTTCCCAGTTCGTATTTTCGCTGTATCGTTGATTAGGTTCTTAGTAATAGTAATGTTCGAGGTATCCCCACTTTCTGTTTTGTAATTATTAGAAAGGTTGAACTACGCATACAGCTAAGGGCATTATCCAAATAGCAAAACACCAAACATAGAATTTACTTATTTTTTCTTTTATGTAGCACGAACGATAATACATAATTTGATGAATGTATGGAAAATGTTTTTTCAATCAAGTTTACTTGAAAATATTTCCAGTTCTTTGTAAAACACGTCGTATTTTTCTAAAAAATGATTTTATGATTGCATATAACAGAATTCGGTTCGGTTCTCAACTCTCAATTAGTGTATATCACTTAATTGTTATGAGAATTGGTTGTCTGTGGCTTGTTGCATAGATTTTTTCCATCACGTAATTTTTGTATAATCAGCTTATCGGATTTATTTAAAATAAACTACATTGGTTAAGCTTCTTTACATTGACGGAGGACCCCTTCTGATGAATTTGGCATGGGCCTTAACGGTAAAGTTATTCACTGGCTCTAACATTTCACTACACTAACACCATCCACAGTCAATTTAAGGTTCTCTGCTTCACGGACCTTTGTAGACGAATACGGCAACATGATTTATGTTGCGCAAAACCGTCCTGCGCGCTGTAGGATTTAAAAATTTGTTGAGGATACGATTATCAATTCTCAGTACCAATATTTTCGTATATAGTGGTATCTTTTGTTCCCTATTCTTCATAATGGAAATTGAAATTATACTATACGTACTTGTATTTAATTAGCTATTTTTAGGTCATTTACTTATTCTGTTTTTTAAATATTGTATGTTTTCCTTGTTTAGTCATTAGAACGCGCCATGAAATTCTCTTTTGAGGAACCTTACGTTTGGCGCCAGCATGCTCTCAGCTTGATTGCTTGCGGGAGTCATAAACAAGCACTGAATACACTAGTGGAAGTCATCCGTATTGATCCTACGAAATCAATCAATTGTCTTTTAGCTGCACGGTTATGTTTTGAACATTTAGAGAATCCAGTCGTAGGTACCAATTATAGTTTAGACGCTATGAAGAAGGAATTATTACATCCTTCGGGATTACTGGGGCGTTGCCATTTATATATTGGTATTGGATATCATTTGCAACAGACCCTGTCAATGTTCAAACAAGAAAAACAGAAACTTAATGAATTAGCTTTTGAGCATTTGCAATTGTAAGAATCATTTTAAAAATATTGTAAGTGTCACTAAGAAACGCCACTTCTTTATTTAAAGAGCAGTACAACTAGAACCAAACGATCATTTGTGTCATTATTACTTGAGCTTGCACCTAGCCAACAATGAAAAAATGGAAGAAGCCCTTTATTACGCCAATATAGCACAAACACTAAGGCCTGAAAACTCAGCAATTTTACACTTGACAGCTTTACTGTTATCTGCCAAAAGGGAATACGCGGAGGCCTTAGACATGGTCGCGACTGCCTTAGAGGAGTATCCTGATTGCTTAAATTTAATGTATCTCAAGGCACATCTCGAATTAAATGAAGATAACGGCGATGTGAGTAACAGATTATTTACACTTAATTCACTTCAATTTGTTTCACATTTCAACATAAATGCCAAAACCAAATTGTCGGCAAAAATAATTGCAGTAGAGAGGTAAAACCTCCAATTTGGTTTTGATTGTTATAATTTTACTAAAAAAAATATTTTGGAACTCTCATATTTTGAAGTATGATGTAATATATTACCTCTGCAATAAGAAATTAATATCCAAGGAAATATTGATAAGTTAATTAGCTTCTTCACTTTAACAAAAAATGATCTCTATGATTAAAGATCGGGTAGTAGGTAACTAATAGGTATGTAATTTGGTATTTTTGTTTAGAAATATCTAATTGGAAAAAATAAACACAGTACAAATTGAAAAAAACATCCGTATGCTAAAGAAAACATTCTCAAGGTAATTTCAAGCATATTTTTCTATAAAAAATATGTTTTATAACAATAAAAAAGTAGCAGTTCAACAAAATAAGTTATCGAAGGAGTGTAAACGATTCGAATGTTTTTAGCGTCCACATAAATTATATGTACGCATATTATTATTATTTTCCTGGTCTTCTCAGTTTTCACTGGTTAACTTTGAGCAAGTGAAGACGGGCTAATGCCAAACAACCTCACTCACATCTTTTGGGATACGATATGGAAACCAATTTTCTGTTCTTGTATTTTATAGACATAACAGTACTTCCTGCCCTGAAATATGATCGGTGATTATTAAAAACTCCGCTTTTAATTTAAACCGTAGCGTTTTCTGAAAAGGGGGATGTGTCACTACTGTTAAGAAATATGCGTACTATTCTGCATGTATTAAGGATTACTAATTTCTGTAGACTTATGTCCGTAAGTTTAAACAGTTTCAACTCAAACTTTTGTGTGTTGCTTATAGGTAGTTGTGTAAGTGCTGGGTTATCCTCTGCCGGAATATTGCTTTCTACGATATTTTCATCGTACTGATGTTGAAAAAAGCTTCTAAGTTCTTGTTTGATGATTTCCCTTTCAGACAATGGTATCCTGTTATTTCGATGTATCACTCGTATTTGGTCAGATAATCTTTGTTGGCCTATAAAATTAAGTTCAAGATAAATTTCAGTGAATTTTCTATGCAAAAGTGCTCTATAGCCCGTTAAATTGGTTTCTAGTTGTCACTTCGTAGTAACAGCGAAGAAGTTGCCTATTTATATCATCAGACGGGTTAATGCCAAAGAACCTCACTCACATCTTTTATTAATCTTATTTCCCTACTTACAAAATCTTAAATTTTACATTTAGATCGAGCCTTATGGGTTTCATATTGTTTAATAATAAATGATGTTTCATTACCTTTATGCCATTTTCACAGAAGGAAAGTAAAAAAGTAAATCTCGCACTCAGTTATTAGCAAACGGTTTCAGGTGATTACAAACTTTTGCTGCTTGGTTTATTATAATAGCTCCGGTATCGATTAGAATTCGCCAGAAATTCAACGATCTCGTCATGACGTTACACAAATTGCCGATCATCAAATTTCTGCAAAATTGAAATCAATACCTACATAATAAACCAATTTGCATCATTTTCACTTGGTTTAATTGATTTAATGAACATATCATATAACTCTAAATTTTTATCCATCCCAGGAAAGAATAAAGCGTCATTGTAGGCGGAGCAAAGAAAAAGTGTTGATTCATACGCTCCTCTTAGGTACTAGTAATATCCCCAATTCGATCTAGCAGTGATTGGTAGCGCATAGCGCTATCTTTTTTCAATTCTACGTTTATCTAATTATACTATACTGTCGTATGTTGTTTATTAGTTTACTATTCTCTTCTATGTCTGTCTTATTTTTGTTGGTAGATTTAAGAAAGCATAGTGTACATGAAGTACCCGTTCATTCCTTCGTGGGATAGATATCTTACTTATTAGTTATAAATATGGATTTATACATACAATAAACGTACACAAGAAAATAATGTCCTATTCAAAACATATACTTGTATTAAGAATTGAATTAAAAATTGCGTTTTTCTAAACTGAGAATAAAATATTATTTCTTAGATAACTTTATAAATGAATAAACCATTATAATTTATTTACAGAGTGCTTTAACAACTGCCAGGCAAATGTTGGAGCTTTGGAAAACCCTCTATGAAGGACAAACCACTTCAGATGTACCTGAATGTGATCGCAAGAGTGATACACGGTCCGTTTTTCAACTTTACACGTCTGAAATGTCTGACAAAGATTCGAGTGAGTCGTTCTCTTAAAAAAAAAAAGGGGGCGTGCGTGTATCAGTGAATACGCGTAAGAAATGAAACTTCTTTAGAATGTATATTATAGAGTAGTATTAAAAAAAAGGCTTAAACTATTGCATTAATAATTATTAAACACCAAAAACTTTATTACGAGTGGACGAATGTGGAATATTGGTTTTGTTTTGTTAAAAACTTTTGCACTATACAAAACTGCAGAGGGGAATTACAAATCAAAGCAAACAAATACATACATATATACGTGACGCGTGACACTTTTCGGTTTTATACCCTAGTAAATTTTCTTCTTATTATCCATAAAGAAGTTTCACTCACAAAAAATACATTTATTTAATGCTTTTTTTTGTTGTATCAGGCTCTTTACAAACTCATAGCGTAGCCGCTTCTAAAGTTGAACAAGCTCTTAGCGAAGTCGCGAGTTCTATGAGTAGTTTTAGTCCTCGACCTGGGCCTCAACGCGCGTGGCTCTTGCTGATGGAAATATGGCTGCTTTTAGCTGAAATTTACTTGAACTTAAATCAGCTGGCTGATGCCCAGCAATGTATACAAGAGGCTACTCAAATATTTGCTCTTTCTCATCATATAATGCATATGGTATTTCAATTGACTTAATTTTGACTTGTATTTGCATTTATACGTAATTCTTTTTTGTAGAAAGGTCTTGTACATATGCACAAAAAAGAATGGACGGAAGCAAAAAACTGTTTTCAGAACGCTGTAGCCATAAACCCGAACCATATCAAGTCATTACAACAGTTAGGTATGGTGTACCACTATATGGACTGTCAAGGTCTGGCAGAAGCAACCCTTAGGAACGCCGCTAAAATCGAACCAAGCAATCACATAACGTGGTAAGCGAAATAGGCTTATTTTGTTTGTTTGTTTATACAGGGTATTTCTAAAATAAGTATCTTTAAAGGGTGTTAACTAGGTGTATTAGGGAATTACATGGTGAATAAAGCAGCTTAATTAACAGACAAAAAAATACTCTACGAAAATTCTTTCTGAGTTGCGCACTTGGCTTACTTCATTTGTAGTGATAAAATCATTTTCATTCTGCACTGGCGTTTCATATACTCGCTGTTTCATACAACCCTATACAAATAAGTCAAGCGAATTTAGATCTGGACTATGCTGGCCAATGTACAAGACCCCTACATCCAATTCAGCAGCTAAGAAGCTATTCGTCTGAAAACTCACGTATTGGTCAATGCAATGATATTATTCTACACTGACCTATTACACTGTCAGGTTGTCAATCTGCCCTACTGCCAACGACTTCGACTAACTATATAAATATTGTCTATCAGTTACACAAGCAATACATGAGTACAAAAATACAAAAGAAATACAATAAGAATGCTGCTTGTTAACAGGTGGTCATTGTCTGTACTTTCAAAGTTTTTCTCGAAAACGGTGGACTTTCATACCACTAAACGTTTACTTAATTTTTATGGTTTATAGTGTCCTGTTTCCTCCTACAAGCTTGCCGCAAAATGACAAACTTTCGCACTTCGTCCTACATTTTTTTAGGAATCTGCTGAAGGCATAGAGATAATAAAATAGAATAGGCAATTTCTATGCAGTCCTTTAAGTGGTAGTGAGACGTGAGATGGACATTGGGACCCTTTCTCCTTTTCTGTCTTTATTTGTGATTGGCCGACGTAGCTAACTACAAGTGTGCATGAAACAAAAACAAGGACAAAAGAGATGCTAATGAGGTTCCTTTATTTTTTGTTTCTTGCTTAATCTAGTCCCATGTTGGTGATTAAACTTAATTTTACCTTTTAAATATTACAGTGTATGTTTGCAATATTTAAAGCCAACTTCAAGAATGTTACTGTATATGTAGCCCTTTAGAATCTTCTTTTGGGTAAAAATAACTATTATTTTTACATAAATTTATTAAGCTCTTTAACACCTCGACATGCTAAACTTTCAGATTATACATTTTGGTTAAATGGCTATGAAATCATATGTAAATTTGAAAGACAGTTTTTGATGTACAATACAACAATGAATGTTTCAATTACGGTAAAATTTGTAAACGATTATTTTAGACGTTGATTTGTTTAATTATCTTCAAATTGTGAGTCACATCTTTGCCGAGTTCTTTTGATTTGATTCATGTTTAGAAGCAATTTTTTGAACAATTGTGCGGGGGTCGGTTTCAAATAACGCTTTTATTAATAGCCTATCGTCGACCACTACGCTCGTGGTCGTTTCTGGACCAATTGCAAAGTTAATATCACAAGCTATTGCCGCTGTGATCACGAGCGTCTACTCGTAGAACAGATGTATCCAATGAAATTGTTGCAATTATATACTCAGGCTATTACTTTACTTGCTTATGCAAATTAATAGAAATAAAAAAGGATATTTTTTGTAAAAGTAAAATTAGAGAGTTATTGAATAAAATATACAAATAAAAAGAAATATACTTTAAGTTTAAAACAATTATTGTAGCGTGAATGATAAAATATTTTGATACCAAGAACGATTAGACAGTGTTTTATTCATGCAATTAATCAAACATTTCTTGTTTAGGTATAATTTGGGCAAAGTTCTGGAGTCGATTAATGAATTTGAGAAAGCCAGCAGCTGTATGGCCACAGCATTGGATGTCGAAGCCAAAAATCCCATACTTCCATTTGACACAGTTCCGTTATGTTTCGAATAAATTATATAGGTGCACTTATTCCATGACTTCTTTTGCATTTACTTATTTTTTATCAAGTTGCAAATTATTACGCCATTTCCTTCTGATAAAAATTTGGCAATAACATCATAGTACTTCTAATATTTATATTATACATAAATTACTTGAATAAAAAAAATAAATCATCTATGAAGCTACGTTGACATGTTGACAACAGTAGCTCTTTAAAATTAGATAGCATTAAAACGGTGCGCCCTCGAAAAGACGCATTAGAAGTCACTGAATCTGTCAAAAAAAAATTGATTTATTAAAAATAAACACTTTGTCCTTTGGCATTTTTTCGGAAAATACACCCTTTTCGAGTTATAAGTTATAAGTAGTTTTTGCATTATAAAGCTCGAAAAAGCCAGTCAAAGATCTACATTTCAGCATGTCAGTTTTCTTTGAACTTTTTTTAATTTATTCGGTCGCAAATAAAGCAACTTTTCGTATTCGTTCTGAAATTTTACATTGAAATATCGTAAGGAACGATTCATTTTCTGACTTGGTTTGTTAAAAAATATTTCGTAGTAGGCATTTTTGGACCTAACATCGTCTATAACTCAAAAATGGTGAATTTTTGAAAAACGGCTAAAAACAGAAATTGCGTATTTTTAACCTGTTAACTTTCTTCGGAAGGTTCAGTGATTTTTTTTATGCATCTCTTTAAAAATGTACTGCTCGCTTATAAATATCAATACTTTTGACAACAACTTGTAGAAAACGTGTAGAAGAGGGATTAAAAAAAATAAAATCAAAAATTACAAAATAAATATTTTCAACTTGTATAGTGGTATTTAATCAGCTGTCTGTACCATATAATAAATAAAATATTATTGAAACGTATTTATAAGTCTAAGAAATTGTTATAGCTAAATGTAAAGGTGATTGTGGGCAATAAAATTTTTAATTAACTGTTATTTAATTTTGAGGTTTAATTGCAATGGAATAAGAAGTTCGCGATTTTCTGTACTTAAAACAGTTTTAAAATTTTTGAGATAATTTTAGCTTAATATCTAGGTAACTGTAATCTAATGTAGTTATACGTGCATTCTCGAAACAATTCAGTATAATCCGCCCTTATTTACTGATAATACCTTTTAATCATTTTATAGTTTAATTTGTAATCCGTAGATGTACAAGTTTTTTAACATAAGGAAAAGTAATGAGCGTATGTATCATTTACTAACGTTTGTATTAATATTAATATTCGGTAAACACCCTGAATATAAAAATACGGAAAACAGGGATACTGGAGCAGGAGTACGAAAACTTTTCCGACGGTAGTGGATGTGCGGAAATTTTGAATTCCGAAAACTAGCTGTTTTCAAAATGTGAATAAATTAGTATCTGCAAACGTTTCTCCCATTCCTTTTAATGGAATGTAGTCAAAGATTGTGTTTTTTATTTTTCAAAAAAGGGAGCTTCCCACAAATTCCCCCGTCGAGGCACATTTTTCTACCTCCTCTACTTCCTTCATTAATAGCAAAAATTTACAAAATAATCTCGAAAACGATTTTTTTCCGTGCACACCTTCCACAATCGGAGAAAAGCTTTTCTTGCTCTCTGCGCTCCACCGGAGTCACTATTATACCGCAAGATAGTAAACCAAAAATGTCGAGTACATTATTAATAATGCCTTATGTGATGTTAAATTTCCAAAAATGAACTGTTTATTTTATTTACCTCATATAATTTGAGGCAAACAAAAATAAAAATTCAAATGTAAAGTAAATTTTTCAAAATACCAAGCAAGTGCTTTATTAAATACAAAAATCAACCGCTTTGTATTTAACAGTAAAAACGGTATATTTTCATGGCCAAAACAGTTATAATAGGAATGAATCCGGTACCTGGTGGGTATGTTTTTGAGTAAACCTTTCCATGCATGACCCAGAACTTTGGTGACTAAAAAGAATTTCAATTAAATATTAATTTATCAGTACTTAATCATAGATGTAATGCAGTCCTGTAAGTGGTGGTAATGCGTGAGATGAAAAATAGTATAGTACCTTGGTATACCTAGTACTCGTTTTGTCTTTATTTAATGGTGCTTCTGATTGGCCTGACTATTCCTCAAAATGTCAAAATAAAGAGAGATAAATGATATCTCTTTATTTCCGGTTTCTTTCTATTAAGAAATACATTTCCGATGAACTTGCGCTTACACGTTGCTTACTCTAATTCCGTTTCTGTCAATAACAGTTGCTATTTCCCACTTGTTTCCACGGTTTCTTTATGTCTTTACCAAAATAATAATAACAATACTTCATACGTTATAAAAACTTAAATTGTTAAAAAATCAATCAAATACCACATAGCATTTAATAACAACATATATTTTTATTAAACGTTTATTATTTGATATTATTATGTTATACGATATACATTGAGCAAGTAGGTAATGGATTTCTTTTGGGGTATTTTTTTGCTATTGTGACATTGATGCTGTTAGAGTACCTAAAATATGCAAAATAGACAAACTTTTTCCAACCAATAAAAGATATATTTATATTTTATTTGCAAAATAATTAAAAATAATCATTTTAATAGTAATAAATTAGAATCTCCACTATTACAAGAACGTAAACTAGTTTTTGAAAAATTTGACGTCATTTTTTGCGCAACCACGTAATTGATAACCGCAGCCGCATAACGCCAGACGCGATGCATAGACGCAGAGTGACGCGTCAAAACTATACATACATCCTATGACATATACTTATCTACCTTACCGACATATGTATAACCATGAACTTTTTTAAGAAAAGTTTAAAAAACATTTGTTCAAAGGATTGACATATAATAATGACATAATTGAAGAGAAAAACAATAAAATGAGGCTCATTAAGACAAAATTGTTAAAGGTTTTGAATCTTAGTAGAAATAGCGTATATTAAGAAATACTATATCACTTTAGTTCAGTGCGATTACTTAAATGTCGTATAAATTTAAATCCTAACTTATTTATTGGCATTTTCCTTCATTAACTGACTTCCTTTATTGTTTTCTTCACGTTGTCAATGGTCATTGTACAGAAACGAAAAACTGACAACATTGCCCCGAAGTGCGAACGGGTAGTATTCCGCATTGCAGGTACCTGCATTGTGGCCAATAGCATGCACTCGTACCGAGAGTCTTTGGCCGCACCCGGCCATTCAAACTTTAGCCCCACCTTTTGAAATATAGTTCCCGATGCAAGAGATTTTTCCAGGCAATTCTCATTAAAAATGTTTAATTATCACAAATTAGTTGCGTAGTTTTGAGCAATATTATGTAGCATAGTTACATCTTTTTCAAAAAAATTCTTAATCGTCTTTAAATATTTTTGAAATTACTGGCAGCGTAGGAATATTGACGTGTTCCTGTCATAATGACGAGACAGCGCATGACCGCAATGGTAAAACAGCAGTTCCACCCTCGCGCCCCTCGAGCCCACCGTCGAACAACAAAAACGACGGCAGTTGGCTGGTGTATTCGTTCGCGACCTGTCAGTTGTTCGTGGTGCCAACGATTGTTGTGTTTAGTGCATCGTTTTGCTCTTAGTGTTTTTAATCTTAAAATATCAAAATGGTGAGTTGAAATAATCACCCATCGCTTATTGACGAGCCCTTATATAAACGGATATCACTTTTTAACGTCTTATTTTGGTAAAAACGCCTGAGTCGGTTGAAATTCTATGTTAACCGATGACTAACGCTATACCGGTTAAATTTTTGTCGCAATGCGGAACTTGCTGTTTTCGTTTTCGAAGTTTTCACGTATTATTTTTTTTATTAAAATAGCTCCATTTTGTAACGTTCGACATATTACTATCGCTGTCGCCTTGGTACGTTCGGTATTGCGTTGTAATTATCGATTTAGCATTTAATCGAGGAATGTACACATCCTTTAGCGTAAATTAGTTTGTGGGATTAATTAGTTCCGCCGAAATGTATCATTAGCGACCGTTTTGTAAGCAGCGGAAGCTTAAAAGTTATGCGGTGATGGCTTCGTGTATTTACTTGCATACCAGGTAGCTGCAAATGTTGATTTCATAAATTTTGACAGGCCGACCAACTCACGGAAGAACAGATTGCAGAATTCAAAGAGGCCTTCTCACTGTTTGATAAAGACGGAGACGGTACAATCACAACTAAAGAATTAGGAACTGTAATGAGATCGTTAGGTCAAAATCCCACAGAGGCAGAATTACAAGACATGATAAACGAAGTAGATGCTGATGGTAAGTGTCAAGTTATAATAATAGTTTTGTGTACGTATATACTCAAATTTTGACAATAAAAACATACATGTATATGTGCTAAAAATAGCTGTTTTTCTTTTTTATTGCACTTTTTCCAATGTAGAAAACAACTGCAAATCATATGCTACTGTTTTAAGTAATCTTCAGTTATAAATCATTTGAATATCTTATTTGAAATGAGTTACAGACAATAGCTAATTAAATTAGAGTCATTAGTAATGATTATGTAAATTTTAATTGAATTAAAGTGTAGGAAAAAAGAGTGTAGGTGCTTTAGTTTCAATAATAAAACTTATTCAGATTACAGTATTCTTATAAATTAATAATCGACAGATTTCTTGTTATTCTTTTATCGATTATTTTGTTAACAATAGATAATTCAAAATATTAAAGCCATTCCCTAATATCTGCTTTACTTTTATTACAAACCAAAATTATTTTGCTTTCATAGTAGGTAGGTATACAGATAGTTCAAAATGTAACAATCCTCTTGTGTAATTAATAAAAAAGAATTTTGTTTAAATGCAACAATAAAAAGCCTGTAGAGTGCAGAAAACAACATTTTAAGGCTTAATGTTTGATTTTTATCGGAAGCCTGTTTTCATTATAAAACATAAAATGTTTTTGTTATTGGTACATCATTCAGTAGACCGTTCCAATTGTTAATTACAGCTCACACATTTTCGACAATTTTTAATAGCATTTAAGGATGTTTCTGAAACTGGGTTATATGCTCTTCGGTCACATTATTGATTAAACAAATCCAAGGCCGCGACAGGTGGAACTTTATCGGTATGGATGGGTAGTGCGGATAGTTGTTAATAATGAAAAATGAAGTGAATTTATGGTTTTTAGTTAAAATAATAGGTTTGGTGCATGACGCTTCAATTTCGAATAGGTATAACGTCAAAAACAAGTCCTTGATTTTTGCTTTTTGTTACGGTCTCAGTACTGTATAAACTACTGGCAGCATTTTATACACCGTTGCAAACATACACACACGTACATATATACATGTGAGGAATAGTCATCTATGTATTATTTATACGTTGAACGCATTTAATCATCGTGCATTACAAATGTCACTTATCTGTTTGTATGGAAGAGGATGAGCAATAAAAGTTTTACGGGAATGTTTGACGATATTAAGCGCTTTTTCAGGATTAACAACGATGTTGTTTGGTTAACGAGGAAAAATTAATCTCAATTGCCGTATTTTGCAATTATTTTTGTAGGCATAAATTTATTCACGGCCAAAACAATGGAACTGTTAATTTTATATACCTCATAAAATGTTTTGCATACTCGAGATATAGGTTTTACTTATTTGTTCTCTTGATAGAATATTAGTTTTTTTTCAACTTTATAAAACGTTCAAAATATAAATTAAGTTTAATGAATATATTAAAGGTTGGTATATTACTTGAGCTGTTGCTGAGTACTTGAATTTTAAAATTTTTAAGTTTTTTTATTATCATCCCTTCGCTATCCACATAGCACTATCTCCTTCAGAAGCGACTTTCGAGAATTACCTATTATTGAAACGTCTAATTAAAGGATGGACGTGTGCCTTGGCTCTACCTTGCATATCGAAGATGTTTGATGGAAGTTCTTAATTAATAATAATCTACTGACGGTGTTTAAATGTCAACAGTCGGTTTAGGCCATAGAGAGGGTGTTTTAGTGGTTGTGGTTACGGTGTGGTGGGACGGCAAGGTTGAAATGCAAGCTATGCACTATATAGAGTGGTATCATCTGTCCGAATTTGGATAGGTTATATTAGTTAATTAATACACCAAATATGAGTTCATAACTTAAATCACAAAAGCAATGTTATAGGCACCTAGGTAACTTTAACTTTTTTTATATTCTACTTCAAGGTATATCTATATCTTCACGTAACTAACAGTTGGATTTAAATATAATGAATGTGGTAACTTATGGTTTGCTATTATTTTAACAGGCAACGGTACCATAGACTTCCCTGAATTCCTCACGATGATGGCGCGCAAAATGAAGGACACGGATAGTGAGGAAGAGATTCGCGAGGCATTCCGAGTGTTTGACAAAGACGGCAACGGTTTCATTTCAGCGGCAGAACTCCGTCACGTCATGACGAACCTCGGGGAGAAATTGACGGACGAAGAGGTCGATGAAATGATCCGCGAAGCCGATATTGACGGCGATGGCCAAGTAAACTACGAAGGTTTGTTTCAGTTTATAGCATTTCTTAAATGCTCTCTTCCTCTTTTCTTTCCTTTCTGTATATTGGCGTTCGCCTACAGGTGTTCCGTTATTTTCCTGTGTGTAACAACCTGTAAGCGAAAATGAGCACACACTCATGTTGCAAATTGTATAGCGTGTCTGAAGCCTAAAATTTTATTTTGGCACTATTGGGAGACACTGTACATAAAATATTTACTATGCGCTGCTTGTAGGCTTCTTGGAAATATACTTACACACTTACACATTATACATATATGTATAACTTTCTACACATATTGGCTATTATATACTGTGTGTGCAAATTTTATTTTTAAACTCGCACCTCGCTATGATCAACATATTGCAATAACGCACCGTACGCATATTAATTATTTTATATTTTTCTTCGAACATTTAATAATAAAAAACTCGGTTACTACTATTATCTAAAAGGAAGTGTTAGCGTGAAGTGCAATCATAAAGTTGTTTTCTTCCTGTTTCTCTATTTGTGCTTCTAAGTATAGAACACAGCGACATTGATAGGTGCAAGTGTGCAGTATGAATGCAATAATTGCGAATACCATTGGATTGTGGGTGATTGTGTGGTGGCTTTGTAGGCGGATACGTAATTAAATCGACTGTTTATGATAAGAACTAGCATTGTAAGCATTGAATTAAATTACTAATCCAATTAACATCCTCAAAAACTTGAATCAGTCGAAGTTTTTGACTACATTCGCGAAAAATTTTGTTTTGTTGGAAATTCAACTACTTGTGACCGTATCTGCTAGCTGTTGTTATTGTTTTTCTTGCAGATTTCCGCGCTGTTGCACGAATAGTTTTCGGCCGATAGTACACGCGGTTGTGCAAGTTTCAATAAAGCTGGTCAGTTGCTGTCTAGCTGTACATACGTTATCATAACCTTTTTACCTTTCATTCTTGAACGATTCAGCGCAAAAGTAAAGAAATAAGCGCAACTTTATTTCTGCGCAAACTATACAATTGTAACCGTTTCATCTTTATGAAAACGTTTTTGCACAATTCATCGTAAAAATAACAATTTGATTCAAAGTAATTCATTTGCTATTGTTCAAATGATGTGTGTTCTATTATTAATACTATCAATCGGTTACAAAAGTCAATACTACTCTTGTACATACCCCTTAATATTTTGCCTTTTTCCTTTCCCAATGTTTATAGCATGATGGGTCTGCATTTTTTTGTTGTGTAATTGGTGCTATAGTAGTTGCTCTTATTTTTTCTAAATATTCACTGTTTCTGTTTTGAGCCCTTAAGAATTTTTTCGCGCACGTTGTGGTTCTGTTATTTCCAATGAAATAGAGAAAAAAAGCACTTCCTTAGTCGCATTTAATATAAATAACGATAAGGTGAACTACATATATTAGTATTCCTCTAGGCGTACGAAATTAGAGACTTCATGTTTATTTTTTTTTTTTTGCTACTGTAATATTGTTGCCAGACTTCTTCACAGTAATACCATTACAGTTTTAAGATTAGTATAGTTACAAGCAAGTAAAACAATGGATTAACACCTAATAAATTTTGCAGTAGTATTAACATAATAATATCAACCAAAGTTAGAAAAATAATAAACTTACATTAAAGCATTTGCTTTTAATCATGTCCCCCGCCTTTTTGCTTTCAGTTTTTGCAAATCTGTTCCGCTATTTTTTTATGTGATGAAATATTAAGATATTGGTTGTTAAATATATTTGTGATGTTTGAACGATACAATTTCTATTAAAAATCGGAACATACTTCTTTATAAAGTTTTGTTATAGATCATAATTATTGTAATTGTATTTCACTTCAAACTCCAATAAGTCATCGATTCATCATCCATTAATGTAGTAATAACCTCTATCTTAATAATGTCACTCAAAAATGATTCAGCTTTTGGAAAGAATTAATGAATATTATATTATTTTCTTTTGTGGCCCTATTTAACGTTGAATATGTATTAGCCCATTTATTTATTCTTCTTTTTGCAGAATTCGTCACCATGATGACATCAAAATGAAGAGTATGCAGCATGTATTCTTCTAACAATATACTACTACAACCTGTTTTCAGCCTGGCCCACCATCATAACTACTATTATTACTACAACAACAGCAACAGCATAAACAATCATCGTTGTCGTTAAAATTAAAAAAAAAAAATAATTACGACATTTTCGTCGGGCTCTTTAAAAAGTGATTAATTAATAAAACTTGATCGTTGTTTAAACAAAAATAATAATTATAATACACAATTCTTTATTATGGCAAGACAAAAAATTTAATCGATAACAAAACACTATTCCCTACTGTTTTAAAAATTATAAAAAGTAATATCAGCAGCATATGTTTAAAAATATGATAATAATAAAAAATTCCTTACAAGTAAACTTTAATATGATTGTGTAAATTTTTGTAAAATATTACTACTACTGTTTCATTTTTGAGTCGTTAGTGTAGAAAAATACGATAAGTGGTTAAACACCAAAAAGCGTTTCCTTTATCTCCTGTTTGTTCTTATTGCCCTTTTTAATGTATATCCCTTCCATCTCTCCTTGTCCCACCATCGCTGCTGTTATCATTTTAAACCTCTTATTTTCATCTAATTGCCAATTGTTTAGTAGTCACTACCTGTTGCTACTAACTGCGCACTTTTCTGTGCTACAGCAAAAACTACAATTTTTCGTGCTATATGATTTAATACATTACAAAACATAATTAAAAATTACGTGTAGTTAACAATAGCGTCTAGGAGTTTATGGTCGATGAGAAGTCGTATGTGCAGTTCGTCATCACGGATTTTGCAGCAGCAAAGAAACTCTAGTTCGTTTTCTTTCTCACAAAGTATGAAATTTGGCGCGCGTCATTTTTTAGTTTGTACTTTCATTCTATTATTCTAGTTTAAGGCAAAGTTGTACTTATTGTTGTTTCGTTTATTGTTGGCAATTGAGAAACCATTGTCCCTGTTTCCCGAATGTCAGAGATTCGAAAGGAAAGAATGTAGCTAGTGTGTATGGGTTTCATACTTTGTGAAAGCGAAACATTGGATACAGAGCAACATCAACAGCATAAGGAATTACATGTGACAGTGTCTTTTGTGTATGCAATAGTTTCTTGATTTTTAACATTCAAAAAACAAATTTATCTACGATTTTCACTTTAAATTGTTACATATTTCCACTTTGTTCCGTTGCTGGTTAAGTGTTACGGGACGTATTGCTTGTTGAGTAAACTTTGTTTTTCGGTTGGTTGGTAGGTTCGTTAGCAAGTGATATGGAGTTTCTGAAATTGCCTCGATCAAAGGAGAACGCTAATTATTCTTGGTAGACACGAAATTTTCTATGTTCATTCTTCTCCCACTATAATTATTTATTGTTACTATAATTATTTTTTACCTTTAAGAAACTGTCGGTTACTGTGAAATAATTAGATGTTTAAATTTTAAATAAATGTGACTGGATTATAGTGTAGTTTTACTTCTTTCTTTCCTTAACAGTATTTCAAAAAAGCTTTCTAAGAAAATATGTTTCTGTTTGTTCTACATTTCATTTTACATTTATTGCGAAACATATGCAATAGAACTATTGAAAAGTCGCAAGTATTAATAGGAATTCGAAATCGTAAAATAATATGTATTTATTAATAAACGAAATTGTTACTGATGTACTTCCAAAATATGGTAGATAATAAGGGGTTCAGAAAAGTATTTGAAAGCTTTTAATTTATTTATATTAAACATTTTGCCCGACTAAGAAATCAATAAAAGCCATTTACTCACTGTTTCTCACAAGCAAACTACATTTCTGTAATAAATTGTTTTTGAATATTATGCGAAAATATTTCCATGTGTTAACTACTAATTTTGGAGATCTGAAATTTACTAATAATCGAAATGTTATTTTTTTACATTCAAAAGTTATCTACAGTTGTGATAAAAATTAGCAAATGTAAAAGTAATCAATTGATTTATNGAACATTTTCATGATCTGATTACTCTTATTTAGAAGAGTTAAGTAATTATTTTTAAAAGGAAATTGATCAGATATAATATTAATTTTATTAGGACACAGTATTTTCTCTCTTGTGATATATTTATGTAATTATTTATTTTATTAACGCCTCCAAACATTTAAAACGATATATATTTTCAGTATGATTTTTAAGGATAGCTTATTATCAGAAAATGAATTACAACAATACAGTACAGCAGTTTAAAACGAGAGGATATTAAAATTGTAAAAATAGCTTTGCAGCTAATTTTTAGGTTCAGAAGCGCTAGAAAATGATACTATTTTTGGAACTGAGACAAATACATAATAGTATAGTAGTAATTTTAAATCTAACGTAAAAATGAAGAAAAACTCGATTATGCGCTACTTAAAAGCCACTTGTATAAAAGTAATTTGTTTTCTTTCTACTTAAAAATTTTGCAATAATTAGAAATTCATCAGTATTAGTTGTTCTGCGTCCTTGTATTTTATATTATTTATTTTATAGGTACTACGACGTAGAAAGACATGATAAACTGAACAATACGTTTCCAAAATTATAGTCATATTCTGCCATTTTCACAGTGGTGATATTTGTGGGATCTCAAACGGTGGTTCGTGAACACAACGTAAAATTAACATTTTTTTTAGTCTGATATACCTGGCCAATCGACGCAACAATAATAAAAGTGTATATTGTGGTCGTTGGGGGTATGCGCGCATGATAAAAATAGGCGACACTAAAATATTCGTCCCGCGCCACGCTCTGCGACCGTGGCCGCAGTGATTTTTGTCAACAATAAAACGAAAAATAAAGACGCGACCGCGCAAAATAAACTAACTGTGCTCCTACAAAAAATCAATTTTATGAAATCGTAAACCTTATAAATCTGTGTGTCCTAATCTAATAGATCGAGTACAATAGTTTCCTTTCGTGGTTTCATCATTGATTCTTCGTTCATAGTGAAGTAAGAAAAATTATTTATACATACGTTTATACACCTACGGACAATCCCTACACAGCTGTAATGAATAGGGGTATCGATTGTTTTGACGTTTATTACGTTTACAGCTAGATTACACCACGTGCTTTTTAGTCGCGCATGACTATAAATTTGCTCTAGTTTTGCATATTATTTTTTAATGACTTCCTCAGTTTACATAGTTCCTAGCAATTGTACGTAGGTACAAAATAAATTCTTATAATAAATTTTTAATTATTTTCAGTTAATGACATGCTGATAAATAAACTTTCATAAAAAGCTAAATTTCTATTGAAAAAATCGGCACTACTCTCAGAAAAAATATCAAACAAGTAGTGTAATTATTTGTTTCCTATTTTTAACGATTGGTTCTTTGACTCTTTCTAATTTTAAGATTAACGTGGAAAACCTATTAAAAAAAAGTTATATTAAAAAAACACTTATTAAGTGTATTATTTCTACAAAAACTTGTTCTGCGTTTTAGGCAAATAATTGGACCAAGATGAATTTAATGTTCAGAAAAAACTTTCGTGACCAAAAAGCGTCCGGGGGAAAAACCGGTATTATGAAAACTTCTTCAAATCGGCACGCCAGTAAGAGATCAAACAGGGACCAAGGATACACTCCTATAGAAGATCAATACTTTAGGACCCATTTGTTTTTTAATTTACCTCGAAGTGATAGGTCCATTCACAATTTAAATGAATTAGAAGGTGGGTAATTTAGAATGAAGATCAACATTAATTAAATAAAGAGGCAGTTCCTGAAAATCGTTCACCAAGGTTGAAATGATTTATGGTATGACATGATCAATACTAACGATTTTAAATATATTAAAAAAACTAAAACAAGAACAGAAATGGCACTTGAAGAATGTAATCTTTAACTCCTAAAATTGTCTGCCTATAATTTATCAGTGTTAATTATTATCCAAAAATTCGCCATTACTAGTATATTTGGCAAGCAACACACAATTTGAGTCACTTTGCTCTATTTACCAATACGTTATCCGATCAAAACTTTGACCTTCAATGTAATATTATATTTAGTTTCACATTAGTGTGGTTGTTTTCTGCTGTTATATTTTACAAAATTTTAAGCATTTAGTAAACAGAAAGTGACAATTTATTAGTGAAACAAACTATATTTATAATATTTAAATACTCGTAAGGTATCCATCATCTATCTATACACACGACAATTTAAGCTGTTTATCAAATCTGTTGTAGAAATGTGTTCTTTTGTTGTTTTTTTACACCCACGTGATACGAACGCATACTAAAATTTGTTTGTAAGGTAGAACTAGATTTAGGTATATACATATCTTTTTTTCTGGTGCCAAAAATAGCAAATCTTTAATTACTAAAGCTGCCTATTTTCCGCAAGTAAAATTGAAAATATATTGTCTCAAACTGATTTATTTAATTCTGCACCTAAACTTGTTAACTGTAGAAGAAAAATAGTAGGTAGCATGTCTAATTATTTTTGCTTTTACCAGAACCTCGCTGTGGACCAATGACGGGAGCATCACTACAAAACATATCTCCACCAATTTCCGAGCCCGATTTTCCACAGCCCCTAATTGATAGAAACACAGATGCTTTATTAAAATGGCCATCCACCCCAACAAAAACAACGCCTACGAGGCAGGTACATGTACATGTAAAACTATAAAAAACAATTTTAACTTTCTTTTACAAAGGTGAGCTTCAGCTCTGGAAAAGAAGAAACTTCCAGAACATTGTCTCAATTGGATAGAGACTGTTTTATTATACCGGTTCATAGTCTGGACAGGTTTCTACCGGCCGGTGTACCTTTACCAGTAGGTATATGTGTATCAAAAGCGACATATTGCACGAATAACTCATGTATTCCGTAGAGGTCCTCCCCATCTAGTTCTTTGGACAGGAAAAATCAAAGTGGACTTAATGTTATGGAGGTATAAAGTTAAATTATTTTATCTTTCAAAAATTTTGATAAAAAATCTTTTTATCAAAGGTACCCGATCCAAAACTATGTATTTTATGTCATTTAATGAGTCCATTAGAACCAGTGGATCCCTTGCTAGAATCACCATTGACCCAGCCCATTTTAAGGCAACGAATAGCAGCTGGAGAACTTCTTTCTGACATTGCCCAAGCAAAAACTGCCGTTACAGGAATGCTTCTAGCCAACATGGAAAGAAACGGTAGGTACATTAAAAATATAAAATGTACAATTCAAGTATGTATGATAAAGTGACTCATAATTATTGTTTTTAGCTGATTTTCCTTTTATATCGTATTACATCGTTAACACAAGCCAAACAAATCCAGCCCGATTTTACAATGATTTGCGCACTTCCAGCTTAAAAAAATTCGATCCACGGACGACAAAGTATACGTCGGCACACACTTTGGATCTTTACACCGAAGTGGCATCAATATGTCGACCTCCTATTAACGAACCGGGTACATCTTTAACTCGGTGTCAAGGAAAGAGCACAGGGTACATCGTGTCCGTCTATAAGGTGTTTGAAGGCGACGACCGAGAAATTTTTGAAAGAAATTGGCTCTATTGGACTGGAGCGCGTATGATCTATAGGTAAAGATTACAATTAAAAATCACTTCAGTATTAAGCAACGTTCTGGTTCAAATCATTTAAGTGAAAGTACTTTATTTTTCGTAGATTCGTACATTATAGAGCAAGATCCCAGGGCTGCCAAACATTACTTATTTTCTGAGTAACAAAATAGGTGGAACAGAGTAGAATTAGTATGTACTTTGAACTCATAACGACATTTTAATTATCTCTGAGGGATGTTTGGCTTCTACAATTGATCTACCTGCTTATAAAAAGTATTAAAATAGTTCCCATCATGTTTAAAAATGAAGACTCAGTAAAATTACGATTTTTTTTGCAAACATTGAAGCATCTGACAGAAATTACTAACAACCGCAAGTGCAGTGTTGATTATTAATTTTAACAATATCAGTAGTCAGATTTTAAGAAAAGTGGATAACATTTTTACGTATCTTTAGTACCTGGTATCTGCAAATTGGTTCAAAGTACATTGTCTATGGTGCACACTAGTGTTGCAGTAAGTTTCGCTTGCATCTTCACATCCGCTTCCCCATTTTTATAACGGAAGCTTATCAGAAATTAGCAAAATGTTATTTCTCATCTTTTTGAAAATCAATATATCGGAACATTAAAACAAGTCGTAAAAGTCGTTTCAGCGATTTCCCAATATTGATATTAATTAAGCAACTACTAAATGCAAAATTTGTATTCGTATTTACTTCTGTTTCCGTTATGACACTTCCGTTGCATCGCTAGTACACCCTAACACTACCATATCCCACCCATTTTCTCAGAAAATAAGTAATGTCTTCGACTATTAGAAAATTATAAAGAATAACTAAAAATCCATGTTAGCTTTTTAACTGGGAAGCATTTATTTAACATACACTAAAATAAAAAACACCGTGAACACGACACACTAATCATGTTGCATTATAAAAAGTTTCCTCAGAAAGAGGAAATAGATTACTAATTTATAATTATGTACTAAAGAAGGTAGTACATACTTAAAATATGCCGAAAAGCAGCTTTTTAATTTTGTTAATTGTCAACTGTTTTTCCAGTTGGTAAACAAGGCAATAAGATCATCAATTGGAAAAGTTTATAACTATTAATTTTAACTATTTTCAGATATTTACCTCGTAGTGCTGGCCTCAAGCGTATTGTTTTACACAAAAGTATTAGTCCAAAAGGTGATAAAATGTACTTGTTGATATGCGAATGTTCAAATTTGCTATCGGACTTGACTGTGTGTGCAGTTCTGCTACCAGCCTTAAGGGCCCGACTTACTGGCTATACGGGACTTTACCGTCCTATTCAGACGTTTTAAACCAATGAATATTTTTATATTCCACTAAAATATTGAGATATGGTTGTGCATTTTATCGAGCTTATTGTATGTATAGTACCAACGTATACAAGGCCTGCCAAGGTAGTGAAGCAAAAAAAACCCGCCTCGCACTTCGCTTTGATTTTTAGCAATTTATAAAATTGAAATGCAGAATTTTAAAAACATTCTCGTGTGGATATTATCCACAAGATAATTTTTCTAGTGGGCAGTACTACCTATAGTTTTATGCCCTTCTGCAGACATAAAAGTTCGTATGCAGCTATTTTAACTTCAATTTTAGGTAATTAAATGAAAAAGCAATAATTTAGATAGATATTTTTGTGTATATTTATAATTACCAGTTGTAGTCAAATTTTAAGTTGTATACCTCCATATAAATACCTATTTTTATAAGTGCAAATGACTCATAGTGTAAGCATTTTTTTACTGACACATTGTATAATGTTAACAGTTCTAACATTTACTGTTATGTCTCAATGCGCACTTCTGTACCCGACAAAATAAAATGTATAAAAATTTCTTTTAAACACAATCATATACCTATTATACTACTTCTTAAATTTGAAATAAACGGTTAAAGCGTAATAATTGATAAATTATTTATTAATTATACGGGCTTGTTAGCAAATGTATAATTTACTACAATTTAATATCGTTGAAGATAAGCAATACTTTTAAATTAGAAACACGAAACTGGAAGATCAAAAATAAACTTCAAGGTACTTAGGGCACTAATCTCAGCAAAAATATATGGGATGGATATAACGCGCATTTCCCGCTAAAATGCTTAAACTTAAGAAGCATTCATCAGATAAAAGTATGCGTAGATACAATTAGTGCAGCAGCTTATACAATAATCTACAAACCATAAATTTCGCACATATCTTAGATACCGATAGCAGAACAATACTGAGGAAACTAGATTAAATTGTCAAAAAAATCGATGAAAAGTACTTCATAGCAGATGGAAAAAGAAAAGCTCTTGCGTCTACCCATAACATCGTGTATAACAATATTAGTGTTAGAATCTCAACAATGCGAGGACTATCTTAAATTTTAAATTAAGTTTACATTTCATTAGTTAATGCCCAGTGCAATTTGTCAAGTAGAAAATTTCTCAGGATCAGAGTATACAATGACTTGTGTCTCGAACGAAAAAGCCAGATATATGCTTGGTCTGAAATGATCAATTCTCCACAAAGACTTGTTATTCCACACATACAAGGAGCGAAGTTACTTTTCTATCACATAAGTCATTCGTTAAGTTGAAAGTCTCTTGTTTGTGTGAATAGTAGTAAATCTTTTCAAAAAACTTGATAACTGTTGACAATTTTAAATTAAGGTCGGTATGAATTTATCTGCCTATTTATACATGGCATTCATTAGTTTTTATATAATATTGCACACCAATACTGCTTTTATATCGATACTCATTGGCTCACCATTATATATTGTATTAATTCACATTTGTCATAACGATTAAGACGATAATAACGATTTAATTTTATTGGCCATCTATTTACTTTCATTTTTATACCATCATTACAACATAAGCTAAAATAAGCTTCTTTTGTTTTGTTAAACCTCCTTGTAATAGGTGAAAATTTTTAAACAAGTATACTGAAAAATAAAAATAAATGAGAGCAGCAATCATCAAATTATGTGTATTTTTTATTTTTATTACAAACTAATAACACAGGTTTGCGATAAAAAAGTTTTTTGTATAAATTTATCTTAAGCATGCAAATGTTGGTCTATAATTTGAAAATATAAACTTTGTTTTAACGTATCACGTCACATTTTTTTTTGTATGTAGATTAATATATGTATATATATATGGCTCTTTGAATCGGCAAATTTATTTGTTTTTTCACAAAATTCATTTTATAGCTTATATTTCTATTTAATATAGTCGTTTACACCGCCTGAAAAAGAAATAGTTTATAGCGCGCCATTATTGAGAGAGATATAATATTAACGTGTAATAAAAGATTGTGTTTCATTTATCTTTAACTATGGCTTCTCGGAGTTGTAAAAACAATTCAAATGTATTTTTTTACATTTGCGGACAATATACAATAGTTAAGCAAAGATTGAATATAACAGACTTTGTAAAAAATGCTTATTAAGCTTACTTCAGAATGAAGTTGTCACCAAGATAAACACTGGGTTACGATAAAATATGCCGGTTATGTGTTGAAGTGTTAAGACAGTGGACTTATGGTAAATCAAAATCATTGTTATTCGGTATTTCTATGTCCAAATTAGAATGCAATTGGAAGTCGGAGTGAAAAATGTCATCAATACGAGTTTGAAAGAAGAAAGTATTGCTTCCACCACTTTACATTAAACTTGGTTTGATCAAACAGTTTGTAAAGGCATTTCGACTTGACCAACGGTGATTATTTCATGTTTAGATATCGAGGTCATGATTTATATAGGTTTTAAGCATATAAAAAAATCGTAAGGACACAAAAAATTACTTTTTAAGAAAAAAGTCAATTCAAAAATCACGTTTTTTTTTTTTATTTTCGATTTTTCCATGCTTTAATATTGTCGGAGGTATTTTTAACCAACACCATCGAAAAGAGCATCGTTAAAAACATAGAAACACTGGTTATCGAATATTTTTTCGTCGCACTCATTACGTGGCAAGGGTTCAAATGGAAATGTGTTCTCTGAGCATTTATGGGTTAATGTGACGTGGTATAAACCATATGAATATCGTTTTCTATTACTTTTAAGACAATTACGACAAATATTAACAATTTAAGAAAAAAACTTTTCAAAAAAAAAATTTCGCAGACCTGTGTAATTCATTGTTTGTACTGTTACGAAGTTTTACTTATCTTTAAAAAAATAAAAACGATTGTGTGTAACTTTATCCACATTCGTAACATTACAACCGAAGAATTTTTACTCAATAAACGTTTTTTATTGCATGATATTCTGGCACCACATTTTACCTTATCCTTGTTTAGTGTCTTCTTTTTCTGAAAAGTATCTCGTAAACAATTAAATTATTTTAAGAACATGCCACTTCACAGCAACAATTACTTAATTTTCAAATCTGAGCAAACTGAGTATGGTTATTAGCTAAAGTTTCACTTTCTTGTTCATACCGTATCATTTTTACCAATATCTAAGACATTATTTAATTTATATCTCCACCTAATTAAATGTCACCTTTTTGTCAGCAGTAGGAGTAAAATTTATTATAAAAAAAGACAAACTGAAGTGTAATACACATACAACTGTTTATTTAGACGTGTAGATCAGTTCTTTCATTTACGGTTAAGAAATAACAATTCCATTATTACTTTAATTAATATAAATAAAAGGAGAGAATCTGCACAAATGTAAAATCTTAGCATCATTCCATTTACATATTAAATTAAAAACGGCATAATTAATTATAATAGAAAAAAAGAAAAACTGCATAGTAATTATTAATTCACACATAAAAATGGCAAACGTGATTACAGTAGTAGTCCTAGATAGTGTCATTCCAGTCTGATGAGGGACATTTGTATATGGGGGGAAGTGAAAGCAACCAAAAATGATAATTAAAAAGAAAACAATACGGAGGTTAGAAAATACTTTTCTTCTGAACTAGTCATTTTGACAAATACGCATGTAATACATACATTTATAATATATACACGATGCAACGATGTCAAACAGTAACAAAAGTTAAAATCGAACCTTCTTTGTTATCATTTTTGCACGCCTTTTTGAATACAAAGAAAATGAAAAAAAAAAACATGGTAAATGCATCGTTTAAACACCAAATGATTTTTTATCTTTCACCAACAGCTGAAAAAGGTTTAATTTAGATATACATTTAAGAAAAATACAATTTTCTTTTCGTTCACTGCTACCGCAAGTTATCGTTATTATCGTAATAAAATACATCACAAAGCGGACGCGTCATCATCATTAACGCCCACAAGAATAAAAAAAATTGCGGGTATCATCACTGTTATACATTAATAATAATAACTTTACTATTTCTATTATCCATTATTACTATTGTATGTAGTAGTAAAGTAGTACTAGCTAGATGATGTTAGCATATTATTCACTCCAATTAGACATGCTTCATTACTGCGCGCAACGGTTGAGAATACGAATTTTGCGCGTCCCCAACCTCCATCCATTTTTTTTTCTAAAAAGTCCAGTTTCGACCGGACTTTACTGCGGTCTGTTCGCGCGCCAGGCAGCCGCATCATTCCGATATTAAAATCACTTATAATGCCAAACAACCCGCACATATATAACAATATTTACTTATTCTCGTCATTTGCCTTCATGAGATCTTTTTAAAGAACAAAATGAAATTTGAAAACATCAGCATGCAATTTTTTTGAACGCCACGGCCGTAAGCCCGCCCCAAATTGAATAGGTATAATGTTGCCTCCCTCCCATTTCAAGCACTTATTATTCAAAGATTACCTAGCAAAAAACTAATCGCGAAAGAAGGAAAAAAGATCACGTATCATTTTTTTGAACGATACGAACGCGCAAGAAATTTAAGACACAGAGGGTGGAAGCTGATAACGTATTGTCGTCACAACTGCTACCCTTCCAAATACTAAAAATTAATCGTCAGAAATAAAATAGAAGTTTAGGATCCGATATATAATATGTTCGATAAACGGGCGGCGCCCCCGCGATGTAACAGTCTCCAGAACAAGGGGCGCAGTGCCTGCGCGGTGGTGCAAATAATTCTTTTAAGCGCTTTCGATTTATATATATACTTACATAAAAACACTAAGTAAATCAAAAACTAAACGAGAGAAAAACAACACAACACAACGTCATATTTAAAAGGACATAAATAAAACCGTCAAACAACAATTTACTGAGCAATAGCTTAGCGAGCAGAACAAGTACAAAATTTGGAAAAGTCCAACAACATATCAATCTCGTGTTAATTACTATTATTAAATCTATTTTTATTTAATATACGACTATGCTATATTTTAACTTTTTTTTTGTCAGTTTCCCTTTAAAACATCCATCAAAGAAACGATTGGTATCGCTGAAAGCAAGTATTGTTCATTAATCAACCAAGACAGAAAATATTTTGTAATGCGCTCTTGTCATTTAAAAATGAAAAAATAAAACAAATACATACATATATCCCGGGGACACCATAAGATAAATACTATTATTTAAATGTTGTGGATAACTTCGAAACATGTTACTAACGTAGTGGTGGCGCCACTGGTTGACGACAATGGATATGATTGGCTGGCTTCATTAATAACCGGTAGGTCAGGCTTGCGTATCACGCGTATACCATTACTGAACCAGCCTAACGGTCAAGACGGATCTATTAACACTCCTATTCCCTTTCCGCTTATTTGCTTCTCCCGGACGCAAAACCACTAGTACGAACACACCATACATACTATACACGTATACGCAAGCGGACACACACAATAGGTCTCCTTTTTTTTATACACTGCGCGGGCGTCCGCTATTAAACACTCGCTTCTTCTTATCAGGCACTCACTTTTACTTTTCCGCTGTTTTGTTGTTGCTTCTGCTGCTGTTTCTGTTGCTATTTTGTTGATCGAAAAAAGAAAAAGGGGGGAAGAAAAAAATTGGAAAGTGTGTGAAAAACTACACACGAAGACGACGACAACACGACGTTGGTTGGTTGGTTTGCTTACTAGCTTGCTATTGTTGCATAGTAACGATTTTGTTGTTTAGCTCCAGGCGGCGTACGAATCCTGGTACCATTGCTGCTCTCCGTTCAGGCCCGCTGCTCCCAGCGGCTGCTGCGCCAGTGGCTGGTTACCCCAGCTGCTCTGGTATCTGCGCTTTGACTCCCCCTGGTTCTGGTGACCCCCGTCTAACTTCCGCTTACCTAAATTCAATTTAAATAATTAAAATAAATTCTTTTTTATACAGATAATGTGCATTAAGCTTTTTTTATGTAATTAGAAAAATAATACATCTCTGAAGTGAAAAAGAAAACATCTTCGAGAAGAATTTCTAGCCCATTAATTGATATATTAATTTATTTATCATAATGCACATCACCAATTAGATAACAATTCTACCGTAAAAAAAGGATTTTTAACATGGGAGATTTTCACTGTTTCGACGGCTGTTTTGTTTGCCAAACGTTTACTTAGTTTTTCTTAATTATAATAAATAACGAAAACAAAAATGTTTAAATCTCCCATGTTTTGAGTTGTAAGATAGGAGGGGTAAAAAAGGAAGGATAGAATCTAGATAAATGAAACTGGTTAATGAAGGGGTACATACAAATAAAGACTAAGATTTGTCATCCTAACTCCGTTTGCAGACGTTCAAGAAAAAAACTAAGCAACAGCCAACAAAACAGCTGAAACAGAACGTTTTTTATCACTACAATCTGCAAAAATAACGTTTTTTCAAATTTGCCCACACAAAAAAATGTCATCTACAAAAAATCGTACCTGGTAAACTTCCCTTGGCGCGGGCTGCTCCACGAGCGGGCTGGCGGGCCGCTCCACGGGCCACGGCCGCTGCGCCCCGGCCCGCCCGGTTGGCCGGCGCCCCACGGGCCGGGGGCCCACCGGCTCGCCCACGCGCCACCACCCCACGCCCACGGCCAGCCTACAAAAAGATGAATGAAAATAACTCGTTAGTTAAAATCTGTAACCCCAATGTTCCACGTATGGTAGGCAAGCTTAAAATAAACAGACGCTTTTAGAAATTCTCTATTTAAATAAAAATAATTTGAACAAGTACTCATCATTAATAATAGGTCAAGTTCGAAAAGCGCTTGCTTAATAGATCTTATACAGCCTCCATAGTAATTCTCAAATTATTCTATTATTCTTTGATAAGTAAACGAGTTATTTCAAAACAGAGGTAAGGCTACGCGATATATTTTTTTTCATGTCCATTCCCTTTCTATTTTGTAGGATAATAAGTGTTACAATGGTACAAACAACTTTTGAAGTATGTAATCAAATAATTTGGTAATCTTATAACAAAACATACATTACGATAAAAACTAACTCCTATTCGTTACATTGTAACACGTTCGTTAGGTAGAATTATAGGTAAAAAAACGTAATGAGGGAATACGGTATAACGTTTAAACACAAAACAGGTATACTTTTTGAACTTACTTGATATCCACGATAGCAATTAAAATACCTGAGCAACAACAGTATTGCTGATTAGTACAAACGGATATTTGGATAAAAATTGGGGAGGGCGAATAGGAAACTTTAGAAAGGGCTCGGACAAACCTGCGTTCCGCAGCTCACTTCATAGAATAAACCGGTAGAACTCAGCGTTGTTCCTTCGTCCAACTCCTATGCGTTATTATATTAAATTGTTAAAAAATTCATATAAAAAAAAAAACGTTGGCACGCTAAAATTCAACGGAAAAACTTGTATGCACCCTTTCAAAATATCAATATAAATTAGAGCGAATCCTCTTTAATCATCGAAAAAAATATACGTTTGAATTATACCTTCGATGTTCAATAATTAAAATGCGATACATACACTGAAATTTGGCGTGCCTAGCCCGTAAGGGGCTCAGATAGAATATATTAAAACTAAATAATAATCAAAACAATGCGGAAGCTTAAAAAAGGGTTATCCAAAAATAATAATACTGGCGTTTCAGCCACAACACTGTATGGATAGGCTTTCTACTGCCTGCCAAGCAAAGCGATATCAACATAAAAAATAATTAAAAATAAAAGGAATAAACAAAAGCAAAAATAAAGCAACTAAAAGCATAGTAAGCGTTAAGCAAAAAAACAGGGGCGGGGCAGTAGGAATACTTAACGTATAAAGTCGAAATTAACCAAACGAAAAGAGCTTTATGTCGATAATAAAAAAGGAGGCACATGGACAATAATAATAAATCAAATAGTCAGCGTTCTTGTAACGATAAAATAAAGAGCATTAAAAAGCAAAACATTCTAATGACAACAGTAACATAAGTAGTAAAAAATTGTTGTTAGTTTGGCGAAGTAACGCCACACGTAAAAATTGCCCTGTTTTCTTTTTGGATAACCCTGCAAAATTGTTGAATTGTCCGTTTGAATTTTTCCCTTTATTGATCAGGATTGACAATTTTCATTTTGAATTTACGAAAACAAGTAGTAAAAAACAAACGATTCTTTATGGGTAATTTCATAAAACAGGTTAAATTGAAAATAGGATGACAAGCACCGTTATGAAAGTAGGAAAAAGACAAATAGAAAAATGTGAAATATAAATGAAAACGAAAACTTATTAGTATTCAGATCCAGCTGAAGAGAGAACTAACGAAGTATGTAGTAAGTATAAAATAAGTCAAAATAGGACCCCGTGCTGTACAATTGTTAAAATA